GTTGTTTAATAATGATATTTTTACAAACATCTGACAAATTTAGTTATTTCACACACAAAAAGATTGAGAAATAAATGATCACATTACAGTTAGGCTCTCAGGAGCCACTTAGGGTCATGTTTTGGGGTCTATTCACAATGTACTTATGTGCCTTTTTGTTCATCTAAAAATATGGGATTTGCTTAATAATGTACTACTGTATTATTATTATTAACACATACTGTGTTCTAAAATTATCAGTTTCTGCAAAAAATTTTACATGAATTAGAGTGATTTATTAGATAATCTTTAATCAAAAATTTTCATGCCCGCTTATTTCCTTCTGTTTTCTAAATGATTGACATTTTGTGAAATTCATAATGTGGAGGACTGAGTCATCATGCTGGCTGAGATGGTTGGTAGTTGCCATTCACAGCACCGTGGGTACAAAAATAAATTAATAACTTAATAGGGATTGGAGCCAAGTATACCAACACCCTCAAAATGGGGTACAACCCCTAAATAGTGAACTAACTAAAAAAAAAAACAACAATGAGGGTTGTGGAAAATGAGTATATGGTTTAAGATATCAACCTCAGAAAGACTACTAATACCTAAATATTTGAAAAATACATCCCAAGAGTTAAATAAAACAACTTTTATTGGTATAGATAAAAACTAAATAAATATATAAAAGCAAAAAAACAATTACGTACGTATCAACCATGTCCGGCCATACCACCTCCCTATCCCAGCATCAAATCTCCAAACCCTGGGGGTAATTTATATCCGCTAATCTGATGGCAAATTTTAATTAATGTTTGTGACAAAGTCACTTCGCTACTGGACTTTGGAGAGGACTACTTGCCAGGCTTTTGCCCTGTGACTATGGCCCCTTTAATTTATTTTGGCTGAGTGGCTATTGACACTTTAAACATTGGTTCTTCGAACTCCCTAACAGTCGAAATGGCCGACATTCGACATTCGAACACGTGGTCTTGTTCACATGGACTAAAACCGCAAAAAGACTTCAGGTGGACAGCCGCTAATGCCCTGGAACTATTTTCGTCATGAAAACCTTGCGGTTACCAGTCGGTCCTTCAGCGGCACTTAGCCGCGATTCTATGGAACTGTTTTGGGCATAAAATCCTGGGTTCGCCTAATGCATTAACTCCCTTAATTATATTACAGGCAGAGGGGAGGGATTGTTTACTGTATGTCGTACTGTTAATTACTGTTTTCATTGGTTTAGGTCCCTTGTGTCCCTGTCCTCCGTCAGGTCCAGTTGGTGTGCCTCTGGCCTGAAAAACTGTATAAAAATCCAACCTGGGCCATTAAACTCTCAGACCGTCTTACCCTCAACTCGCAGCCTCGTCTCTTGTTGTAGGGAACTGCTTTAATCACACTGGGGATTGCTATACTCTGTATGCTCCCCTGGACGCTAATCACTAGCTCTTCTAAGAGCTGTTCCTGTTTCACTCTCAGAAGGAAGAGAGGTTCACCCTCTGGAGCCTGGAGCCTTGTCGTAGGTCCAGGGTGGGTAGGAGACGACGAGACCCCAACCAAGCTGCGGCAGTTCGTGGGGTCTGCAGTGCTTATGGTGTCTGGTGCGGTGCTGATGGTCCTTGGTAAGCACTAGGAGCATCGCTTGATGGAGTGTCCGTCACAATGTTCTCCATTGATTTCATTTTATCGGAGCATTGTTTGCGTAAAGATGAACGTTTTTCCTCCAGATTTTCAACGTGTCGAATTTCTTGCTGATCTGGAAGGATTGAAGAGGAATTTGGAGGACAGAGCGTTTACATGGAAATAATTGCAGAGAGCAATAGACAGAGACGGATCTTACAATCAATCAGACGAGGCTGACAGTTTAATGGCCACTTCCGCTAACACAAGCAAACAGCACAACAATGCCGTCTCTGTCCGCACTTCCACAACAACCCACTAAAATTATAATCTGCCAAAACAACTACAATTATTAGCAGAATTCACAAAACAAGTTTAAAAACGAGAGCATTTTGGTGAAAACTAAAACAGAAGAAGCTCAGCACATACATTTATTTCAGGTGTTTGCCGTAGCGAGCGAGGCGGTGTGAATTCGGCACCATTTAGCAGACAATACCTGACTTACTCTGCGTTTGTGCTTTATAGAGACAAATCCATAGATGAAGATGTTAAAATGGCGGCAGAGGAAGAGATTATAGGTTTTGGAACGGACTGTTCAAAGTTCACTCAAACTGTCCGACTTGGAGATATTTTAATTCAACGATCAAGTCAACAGACACGGAATACAGTTGTTATAGTCACAGCAGTGAGAAGGCCTGGGACAGGAAGGAACGACGTGTATACATCAATCTGAATCTGTATCCACATCTTCTAATTATACAAACCATCACAGAAACACCTCTTAAACCTGCAATGTATTGTTGCTGCTGGTGTCTTGCCAACGCCATTAGTGGGGGAGTCGGGGGGCTGGTGACCCACAATTATCAGATGTTGACTCCGATGCCATGAAAACGCATTACAAGAGTTAAGTTTCCATGGAAACAGCTAATGTCATTTATTAAAACTAGGAAAAAATAAAGCTTTAAAGAATATTAAAAGTTTATTATTAACGTTCTCTGGAAATTACATTCTGAGCTGAGCGCAATTATCACAGAGTAAGATGTTTATTGATAGAAAATCTGCGGCGTTATGTATAGAGGCTACAGGGCATTACCATTACAAGGTGCATGGATTTAACAATACAAAGTCCATGATTTAAAGACAGAATGTCTATGGATTTAAAGAGAGAAAGCCACGGATTTAAAGACAGAACGCAAATGTGATTGCCAGTGACATGGCAGGTCGAGGCTGTAGTTGTTTCAGACACTTTATTCCGCTCTCCTTTTACAGAGAGTGAGGGAGACTTGCTGAGGGTTAAATGATTACTCAAGGCACCACTTCCTCTGTGATGTGAAGTGGTCATGGTGCCTGGAGTCTGTATGCACAGCTTTGAAACGCTGCACCTTCAGAGATTAACCCTTTGGCTGCTGGAGGTGCAACTCCTCCTCCTTTAGCAAACAGCAGAGTTCCAGGACGGCTAATGTCAATTCTGTGCAAAACTGGCCTCAATGCCCCTGTATCCTCTCTTCAATCCCCTCTCCCTCCCTCCCTCCCCCGCCAGCGACGGGCAGTGATTTAAGGCAAGAAGGATCGGACTGCAGGGAGAACTGGGCGAGAGGCACAGTGATGGAACGCAAGTGAGTTTTATAGGATTTTTGGTGGCTTTTATTTTATTTTGGGTACCGGAGCACCTCAGATAGTTACTCTAACTAAAACCAGTGTTTTAACCAATACGTTAGGAAGAGAGTATGTAAATCTGCTTTATATACTATTTGGATTATGCACTAAACTTATTGTAGATTTTCCAGGAAATTGCTAATTTTATTCCAATTAAAGGGCTGGAAACTTAATGAACCTGGAACATTTTCCAGTTCACTCACGCTGAGCTCAAGTTTACAATTTCCTTCTAAATTCCGGACAATTCCCAGACTATTTGTTCTTCTATACTTTTTGGACCATTGTACGATTACTGCTACATGACTGCTGACCCATATTCCATCAACACCGTTGCCCCCAAATAATACACTGGACACCTTTTAGTGGATAAGGGCAACGGCCACAGCTTTATTAAACAGTAAACTTAATTGTTAATTCCTGCCAGCTGTTGGGTGAGGACCCAACAGGCAGTTCACCTCCTTTGTTGTCCATGAGCCCAACACAGCCGTCGCTAGCCATCAGCCTTGCGCCGACTGTCGTCTCCCCAATGTGACCTTGCGTCATAGTCCTTTCCTTTTCGATTCCGCTGTCCAGGGAAAACCGCCAGCTGTGACAATGAGAAAAAAACAACACGAAAACCACCAACACCACAAACAAACAAAACCAGGGAGGGAGGGTGGGAAATTCAACCAGGGTAATGACAATTTCCTTCTGACTGGTAAGTCTCCTCCCCTGCTACCCCTTTATAAATCCTTCCATCTTTGCAACATTGTTGCTACCATTGTACCATCCCCACTATCCTGGGCAGCAGTCATGCTCCCCCTTCCCTATTCTGTCCAGGGGGACACTTTACGCTGTGATTGTCTGAATTAGGATTCTGATATTTACCAGATATTTTCCTCCGTTTTCGTCTAACGTTTCCATTAATTTAATGGGCCGTTAATCTGTTACCAACTATTAATGTACAGAAATATTTCTACTAGAGTACAGTGGGTACATGACCCCACCTCCCAGGAAAAGCCATTAGAGATAATATGTCCAATCAATAAAATAATATTTTGAATTGTAAATAAATGTTTCTAAATCTATATTTCCCCCATGTCCCCCAGCCATAAAACAGAACAGAATTGTACATTGCTGAGAGAATGGGCTCGATATAGGAAAACATTGCAAATAGAAGACTTTTCTGTTAAAAGGTCGTATCAGTGAATGCTTTGCTGCACAAGGCATCGGAGGGCGCGCTAGAGAGATATTTTACTAAGCTGGCTTATAGTGCTTTCAAATCACCAGAAATATATGGCCTTCTACACAGCACAGCGTTCGTTTAGCAGTTATTTAAACCCACTGGACACACACCGTCAGTGACCACGCTGACACACACTCAGAAAGGTCACGCCAGCTCCTATCTCTCTTTCGACCTATAAAACGTTCAGTCCATTTAAGAGTTTCTTATGCTGTGGGGAAATCATTTTATTGTGAGTGAATGGAGGAATGAAGGACGCGGGTGTTTCTGGTCGGCCGCTCCGTGAAAAGGTCAGGCATACAAGGCAGTTGAAGCGTGAAGATGGGCGTTTTGTCAGTTGTTACGTTAAGTGGTCCCATCTCACCGTGCAAGTGAACAAGCGCAGGGGGTCTCTCCTCATATGGCTCCCGCTGCATACTTTCCCAGTACTGTGGAAACATTTAGCCTGTGGACGCACTGAGCTGACTTTTTGGGATTTGACATCAATCAGGCCGATCCGTGCTGGTCTCCAGTCGGCCTTCAATTCACCCCAAAGAGCCTGAAAGCAGAATGGAGGTCTGAGCCCAGGTTACGGCCTACAGAAACCTTCCTGCGTGTGGAATAGAAAATAAATACTCAATAGATGGGGATTCCAATAAACAATCCAAAATTTCAATGGTAAATTGTAGGCGCACGCGGCTTCTGTGTGACTAAACCATTTATATCATTAGGCTCCGCATGTACAGTAAGCGTCATGCTCTGCAGTGTCTGCACAAGATGCTCTGCAACCTATACTTCTGAAACTGCATGTTACTGTATACAGAGTGGTCACGCGGCCTTTTGTGGTAAATACACAGAGTATTCCAGGTAAAACACTGCAGAACTGACGCAGATGCAGAATGGGAAGCTCTGCTGTGTTAAAATCATCAGGATTTGCTGTCTGTAGATGTATTTTACTGTAATCAAGATGCTCTGCAGTCTGTACCTATCTAGTTTGCAGTCAATACGTGTGATGCTCCACAGTTTATATGCAGATTACTCTGCAGTCAGTATGATGCTCTGCAGTCTATATGCTGATTGCTCTGCAGTCAGTACGTGTGATGCTCCACAGTCTATATGCAGATTGCTCTGCAGTCAGTACATGTGATGCTCCACAGTCTATATGCAGATTGCTCTGCAGTCTGCTGATTGCTCTGCAGTCAGTACATGTGATGCTCCTCAGTCTATATGCTGATTGCTCTGCAGTCAGTACGTGTGATGCTCCACAGTCTATATGCTGATTGCTCTGCAGCCAGTACGTGTGATGCTCCACAGTCTAAATGCAGATTGCTCTGCAGTCAGTACGTGTGATGCTCCACAGTCTATATGCAGATTGCTCTGCAGCCAGTACGTGTGATGCTCCACAGTCTAAATGCAGATTGCTCTGCAGCCAGTACGTGTGATGCTCCACAGTCTAAATGCAGATTGCTCTGCAGTCAGTACGTGTGATGCTCCACAGTCTAAATGCAGATTGCTCTGCAGTCAGTACGTGTGATGCTCCACAGTCTATATGCAGATTGCTCTGCAGCCAGTATGTGTGATGCTCCACAGTCTATATGCTGATTGCTCTGCAGTCAGTAAATATGATGCTCTGCAGTCTATATGCAGATTGCTCTGCAGCCAGTACGTGTGATGCTCCGCAGTCAATATGTTGATTGTTCCTCAGTGAGTATGAGTAATAAATATTATAAAAATTTAATCCAATCATCGGTAAGCTATTTCTAAACGATCTAAGGATTTTCTTCTAATTTTTGAATGAAAGTAATTTAAATGAAAATTCGTGTAACGTGAGGTCACATTATTAAACCATATGTCACCGAAACATTATTTAAATCTGTATAAAGCTTTGCTCTTAATTACGCAGAAAACACCTAAATACTTTTTAATTCCTGTTGCAATTAATAGATGCCTTTGTGTTTTCCTGGGTAATATTTTCTAAAGAAAA